ATCATCATCATCGTCGTCGTCGTCGTCGTCGTCGTCGTCGTCATCATCATCATCATCATCATCATCATCATCATCATCTTCCCCATCCTCCTTCGTCCTTTTCCTCCTCCTCCTCCTCATCGTCGTCTTCGTCATCATCATCATCATCCCATCTCCGACTCTTTCTCTCCCTCCCCTTCCTATCACCACCATCGCCTCCTGCCGTCCCGTCCTCCTTCTTCATCCTCCTCGTTCTCACCGCATTCGAATTTCTCAGCTGCGCGATCTTGACCTTCCTCTCCTTGACGGGCGTCTGACATCAACTCAACAGACGAGGCAACAACAACAACAACAACATCAATCAGAGCAAAGTCGAAGAAATCTCCAAACTGTCTCTCAAGAGTGAGTTCCTCAACATCGCAGCACCTCCCACTTTCACCTCCTTGAAGTCAAGATTCCCATCTGTGAGGCACTGAAAGTTGAATCCAGTCAGTTCCCCCCTCGCAAGAGCATCCGATCCCACCATGTCTGCGCTTCTCATAATTGCCAGGAGCAGCATATCGTCCATGATCAAGTACGAATGCTCTGACTTCTTGTTCTCCTCATCGTTGCCGTAGCAGGTCCGACAATTCCACTTGCAACACTCCGACTGAGAGCAGAGAAAATCTCACAAGTTTGAATCGCCGGCAATCTTTGCTTTCCCACCATCTCGCATCTCCATATCTCGTGTAAGTTCATCCTGTACAGCCCTGACATGTCGTGCAATCAGTCTCAACGACCAGCCATGTCATGTCTTCACCTCTCTTCAGCTCGACGAAAGAGACTTGATACGATCCGTCCGCATCAAAGAAGACAAACGATTCTGCAGCCTGGTTGTGAACAAATTTACAATCAGGTTGTGATCGTCATTTTTTGTAGAAATTTTACGTTGACGAATATTCTGCTCAATGCTCTGTGAAGGAGGAAAACAGCCTCCTGCAAGAGTGTAGCGCATCATTGCATGAAAATTGAGTTCGAGTGTGAAGTCACCTCCAAGACATCATCGTCGACTTCGATCTTCTCATAGAATAAGTTGTCATTCTGCCAAATCATCACATTATCAACGAAAACAAAATAATACCAGTCATAAACAACATCAAAATCAACAAGAAGTACAACAAGAAGAAGAACAAGAAGAACAAGATCGTTATCATCATCATCGTCGTCATCATCATCGTTGTTGATGTTGTCGTCGTCGACATCACCATCATCATCATCAAAAACTTTCGATCGCATCACCACTTTCCGCTTGTACGACGACACCCTGCAGAGCGTCTTCCACGACAAAAAGCATCTGTTCTGCAGCATTTCTTCAACAACCTCAAATTCATTCTCACTTGTCACCCACCAAAGACACGCCGAACTGTGAGAAGATTGCCTTGGACACGATCTTTGTCTTCTCCTTCCATGCCTGCCCCCCCACCCTCAGCAGCTCCTTTCTGGGTCTGAAGCTCACGGCCTCTGCATCAACATCAAGATGCGTCTGGGGGAGGCAGAGGAGGAGGACCGCATCTGAGGAGAGGAGACGAGAGTCTTGCTGGCTGCTCTTGCTCTGTGCTGTCCTTCCTCCCTCCCCGCGGCGAATCATCGCTGTCGTCGTCGCTTTCCGCGACCTTCTTGACGGCTGCGCATCGTCTTAGACGAGCATGTTTGCAACTGACAGAATCAGACCTGAAAGCTGCGGGGAGAGTGGAGCGAGCTCTGACCCTTCCCTGCCGTCAGTCAGACTGGTCTCCAGCAGCAGCTCCCTCGTGGATCTCGTCCTTGTAGCGCTGGATCTCAGCCTTGTGCCAGCGAAGTTCAACGCTGCTCGTCCTGCTCGACCCCATCAGCTCCACCCTCACTCGTCGGCCCCTCACCCCTCGCATGGAGAACTTGCGTGAGCTGCTCATGCGCAAACACCGTCGAGCTCCTCTGTGGTATGATCGCACCGGTATGCCCTCCTTTCCTCTCCGCCGTCCTTGCCAACTTCGTCCTGCTGTTCAGGATGATCCAAGTTTGAGGGGAATGAAGTTGAGGGTGCGGGAGAACCCTGTCTGGATCCTCCTGATCCCTCGCAGTCATGCCAGCGAACAGCAACAAACGTCACAGCACCTGTCTTGCTCTGATGCTTTTCTTCTGCATGAAATGCCAGACATCACTGACGGCCTGCCATGATCGCTGTCAGCAAGGAGGAGAGGAGAAGAAGAACATCAACATGTTACTGACTTGCTGCAGCTCAAGGAAGCAAGACTGTCTCGCTTCCTCGTATGAGAGCGCGTCCTCGCAATGAAAGTTCTGCAGCTTCAGGAAGCTCCTGAGGCTGCGGAAGAAGAGGGAGAGGGTATGTATTCCTTCGTCCTCCGTCAAGCTTATCCCCCTTGCATCGTCCAGGCTGCGATACGGAGGGTTGAAGAAGATGATCTTCCTTGCTGGGAGAGCCTTCCAGTCCACGTCGTCACCTACAAACACGTGAAACGAGCCTTTCATCCGCACAACAAACCTTTCCGAGGCGTTCGAAGCTCGAACAAGCAACTGTGTACTGAGCGTGCAGTTGCTGGAGCTGAAGAGTATCAATCACAAGAGATGAAGAGAGACGAGTGGAAGACCTTCATATCTCTCTCTGCGAGCTCGAGTTGTCTTGTCTTGTCGGAAGTGATCATCTTTCGATTGCCCGACAGCAGCACTTGGTTTGCTTTCCTGGTTCCTGTCGCTCCTGATCCCCAGCACCTCGCATCCTTCCTGCCAGAGCAGCTCGAAGGGGTAAGCCTGCTGCTTGTCTCGAGGGGTGACGGCGTCAGGGTATTGCGTTTTCAGCTTGCGAGTGAAGGACGGGTTGTACCCTTGGAGGTTGTCCTGCCAACAAGTCAAGCCTCGAAGCCTCGCAGTCTGAGCATGAGGTACCTTCTCTTTCCACAGCGAGCACGTGTACCTCAGCTCACCCACTGGCTTCCTGATGCAGAAGTCGCAGAACGCGAGACAGAACTTGATCTCCTCCGCCAGGAGTACATCTCTGGTCTCCGACAGCGCCCTGGTCAAGTGCTGGACAAATATGGCCGTGTGCTCATCTCTTGCTGCTCCTATCGGCGCTGAGCGAGTCACCTCCTCGGCTCTTCTCAGCTGGGAGAGAGGGAGGGTAGGAAGGCTCACCGCCTCCTTGCCTCCCTTCATCCACCATAGACCCTTCCAACCGTCCGCGCCATCGCCGTCAAACTTGCTTTTGATGTTTCAAGTCTTTTTACTAATAAGTTAGTTCGGAATGCCGATCGGAGTTTCGGCCCGGGCCCGCCGGGTCACAAGTTCCCACTGATGCCCACCATTCCGCCGGGGCAATTCTCCTGCCGCTGAGATGCCGTGAGTACGGTCTTCACTGATATACTCCCACACCGTACTTATCATCAGCAGCAGCTCCCGGCGATGTCACAAGTGACTGAGTCCTGTCACAGTACAACTTCCGGCACTAGCACAACACCATCCGATCCGATCGCCCCAGTGACAACCCGTTGAACCTGCCCGGCGGAGGCCCGGTCCGACGACGGACGCGGCCGCCCGGGCCCCGGCAACGGACTGGGATCATCACCGGGCGTCCCGGATTCACCACTTACCAAGTGACGACAACCCGCCTCATTATTATATACTAGTAGAGTCAAAAGGCAGAATGTTTTTACGATTGCTCTGCTAGGCAGTGAAAGGAGCGAAGTAGAGGGGCAGCGGTTGTTCTACTCTATCAGGTTTCTTCCTCTGGTTCTTGGGAGGTCCGGCAGACACAGCGACCATGCACGCTGCAGGAGGAGAGGAGGGGGGAGGATTGCGAGCACGACCAGGTTATAGAGGAGGAGGAGGATGGCAAGGACGAGGAGAACTGAGAAGGATGGGGAGGAGAGATGGAGGAGAGGCAGCATCGACAACAAGAACGACAGGGCAGGATACTGAAGGAGGACAAGGTGCGCTGCGAGGAGTAGGAGCGGGTGAAGCAGCCAGTGCAGAGGAAGGAAGAGGGAGCAGGAGATCAGCGACGAACGAGAGCGAGCCTGTGATCGCCTCCTCTTCGCTGTCTCCTATCAGCTTCACTGGGTTCGTCGCCCGCTCTCACTCCTCCCTGTCCCCTGCCGCCATCTCGCACATCTCACCGGAGCACAAGTCATTCAACGGACAGTCTCCAGGGCAGGACAACTCCAGCTCATCACCAGCTTCCGTGGGCTCCTCCTACGCCGAAGCTGTGCTCTCGAGCCGCCTGCCCTCGCTCTTCCGGAAGAAACTCTCGCCGTCCCACACTCCTCATTCCGACACCGAGGTACTTGTCGACGCACTGACGGAGCGCTGATGTCAGACGCCGCAGGTGTCAGCGATGATGATGAATAGGAAGCTACTGAGAGACCTGAGACGAGAAATATCGCGATATGACGATGACAACGACGAGTTGCTGCTGGCCAAGTCAACGCCCAACAACATGATCGGCAGCCATCGCTCCCCTCAGTCGGAAGGCGCGGGCAGTCTTGCAGCCTATCGCAACCTCTTCAAGCAGCAGCCTGCCAGCGTCTCCGCTCTTAACTTTGACAAGCTGAGAAGCGTCGACCATGTGCACACGGCTAGAGTCAGCCCAGCGTGCAAGAGCGAAGTGACTCTGAGCTCTCCCCAGGAGACGGTTTCCTCCGTCTCCTCGCACCACGTCAAGCGGATGAACCTGACGCCTCGAGATCATATCGTCAAGTCCATCTTGCAAGATGACTCGGAAGAAGAGGTCAAGAACTTGTCAGGTCGCTTCATGACCTGAGGTGCCGTCGCAGGACTCCTCGGATGACTCCAACGAGCTCTTTCCCCGGTCAAGCACCTTCTCCAAGCGATCAGGTGGCCACCAGCTGGAGGAGAGCTGGCTGACGAGCTTCGCAGGCAAGGCATGGGAGCAACAGGCGCATGCGGCAGCAGGGCATCACTCGCAGTCATCGAGGAGCCCACGGAGACGTCAAGACTTGATCCCGCCTCATATGCGAAGTCGCTGGAGTGAACCACCCAACCCCAAGTCCGTCGGTCACTGGCATGCGGGGGAAGCGAACACCTCGATCAGTGTCGGTCACGCTGAGCAAGACGTCCTCTCCTCGCAAGCTTCTGCGGCAGGCTCTTCGAGGAATGAGATCGAGTTTGTTGGCAGCATGCGAGACTACGTCGAGAGCGAAGGTGAGGATGCGATGCCGGGGTTAGTGGTGACTTTCACCACTAGCAGAGGAGGGGGAGATCCTGCAGACGAGTGCAAACACAGAGGACGAGGCGTGGAGGGAGGAGGAACATCGCTCTCCCGACTTATCAATGCAATCGTTGAGATCTCAGGAGGGGGTGCGCGCAAGACATGCTGTGTGCTCGACTGAACGACTGGGTGAGCAGACTCATCGAGCGGACGAGGAGCACGGGGAAGAGGAGAGGGAAGATCAGACGCCGAACAAGACAAGAACAAACTTCGAGTCCATAGAAGTCTCCTCCAAAGTTCCAACAGCAACCATCAGCAGAGATTCCATGAAGCTCTTGTACACGGGCATGAATCAAGACGTTGAGTTCCTCAAGGCGGAGCTGGTGGGCGCCAAGGTGCAGGAGCCGAAGAGTTGGGCTGCTGGGAAAGCAAAGGGAGCTGACGACGCCTCGGGATTCCCAGCGATGGAGGAGAAGAGCAGCAGCAACGCGATCGAGCACACAGACAGCCGACTGTGCAACACTCTCTCCCGCGGGCTGAACTCCGTCCTCAGCAGACGAGACGACAAGGTTCGTTCCTGACCCCACCTTCAAGGTAGATGACGTCACTCCTAGATGTCCCTTGGCGCCTCCGAGCTGCAAGCGCGATGCGCCAGCGCCTTGAACGAGGAGGGGATCCGAAGTGTCGAGGACTGGAAGGCCCTGGAGAAATGCCCTCTGATCGCAAGCATGGCCCTGCTCGAGCTGCGGCAGGAGCACCTGACGTACGTCGAGATAGCGGAGATCTACTCCAGCTTCACATCGGCAGCGCAAGATGCTGCGCTGCTTGAGGAGGAGGGCGAGGGAGGGTGTCAGAGAGTGTGCTGCCCCAGAGCTGTCTGCCTGATCTGATGCTCGATACGTCGAACTCGCTAGAGCAGGAGGGGATTCCTTCAGGCCAACCAGATCTGATAGAGGAGGATGTCCTGGCCAGGCCCATACGAGGCCCCGTTGGAGAGGAGCAGTGGAGGCAACCTGGTCAGCGACTTTCAGTTTGAGACTGACAAGATGGGGATATGGAGAGGAAGAAATGATCAGGGGAAGGCAAAGGACTGCGGGAACAGAATCATTCACCTTTGATCTAACTTGACATGACAGCCACGAGCTTCGAAGGCATCTACCACCTGCAACGTTGGAGCTCCTAAGAAGGACAGCAACAGACAGAACTCAAACCATCTGCATGCCCGCAAACGTCTTGGACTCCGTCACTGCTCGATCCCGGTAGCAACAGTAGCACCTGGGGCGATGCTTGCCTAAGGAACAAGTCAGTGAAGTAGCTAGACGACCTCCGGGCCTCCACCATTGAGGATCTTCATGACGGTGTCAACAAACGGCTCCACCAGCTCCTTCAACCACACGCACTCAGCTGCGAGCACTACCTCCGTCTCCTCCAGATCGATGCCCTGCCAAGACTTTCAGCTCCTGCCAGCCTCTGTGTGCATGCTCTTGCCGCCTCTGATGCTTGCTCCAACGTCGGCTTCGTCCAGTCCAGTGTCATGCAGGCTGCAGTCCCTTTCCCTACATGCCCAGCTCCAGGCCAGCAGGAAGCTGTCCGGCCTTGTGGCTCCTCCCAGTTCCTCTTGACGTTGGGCCTGAGGGAGCAGTCGGTCACCTGAGCAGAAATCTCTCACGACAGGCAGGGCATGACAAGCATGAACAGTCTTCAAGTCGGTCAGCAGGACATGCGCGCCCATGGCTGCTGCGCACAGGCCAGCCAGACCTGCCCACAACTTCACTTGCTAGGAGCTCAGGGCTGGGGTGGAGGCACCTGTGCCCGAGCCAAGCTCCACCACACGCTTGCCGACGATCTCTTGTCGGATGTTGTCTCTCATGATCTTGATCAACATCCTTGCTCCCTCCCAGATCTGCTCCTAGCAGTCACTTGGTGATAGCCTATCAAGGTCTGGTCTTGCCTGGAAACCCGTTGCTGCGGCCACAGTGTAATCTTCAGCGAAGAAATTTGGATCTACCTGAGTATCAGAGGAATGAGAAAACTTATGACCCAGGATAGCACGCAAGGACCCAGTCGCTCCCTTCCTGATCCAGATCCCGCCTTAGGACCCTGACCCGAAACCCTATGGAAAAGGGATTCAGCAACCCTTAAAGCTCATATACCCGCCCCAACTCTCATATCGTTCCATTATCCTTGTACCCCTCAACTCTTACATCCACCATATTCCTCCTCCTCCTCCTCCTCCTCCTCCTCCTCATCATCATCATCATCATCATCATCATCGTCCTCCTTCTCCCTTCAATTAAATATCCATCATCCCCCCCTCCCCCCGACCCCCCCTCCCCCTACCCTCCTGCTCTCTCCTCCTCCCTTGCATAATCCATCCATCACCCCCACTCCTTCTCCTCCTCTCTTACATCATCCATACATCAATTGCC